CTAACGAATAGTGGGATTGACTGTCACATTATAACGCCCCCACGGCTGAAAGGGCGAGCATGTTTGGTGGGACGGGGATTCGAACCCGCGACCCGCCGATTGCGAGTCGAGTACCCTAACCACCTGGCCATGCCGGGCCCCTGATCATGGATTGGAGTTCACACTTTTCCCAAGAAAAGTGTAAACATACTATTTATTTACTGTACTTATATGAGAAACATAATTCTTTCTTCATTCACTCAGCATATGAATTGTTTATTCAATTCACAATTCACATTACTTTGCTCCCCCCCCCCCAGAAAAATTTCCGAGGACGCCATTTTACTAAAATTAAAGCACATATTCTAAAAATAAAATAAAATATGTGAATAAGCATTAAAAAACAAAAACTAGGTCAGTTCGGTCCGAGTATTTAGAACTTGACCTACAGAAATCAGTCATAAGATGTAAAAAAAAAGAAGTATTTTCAAACAACAATAACATCTCTAATAACCAAAAGAGCATTTGGATCGCGGCTATGAATTGTCAAAATTCGGTTAGACACTGACCACTCGTGATATAGATCTGTTGGATCGCGCACACTAAGCCATACAGCCAGGGGCCCGGGATCAGTAATATCATCGGGTCCCCCTTCATTCTATTTATTAACTTTTGCTGATTTTTCAGATAAGAAATTTAGCTGACAAATTTCTTCATGAATCCATGAAAAAGCACTATCCATTTTGGCTCATTAAGTAGTATGCATTTCTAGTGAGCTTTGGAATATCCCACTGCCGGGCCCCTCAACAGATTCCGGGGGAGCAGCCCCCCCCCCCTATGCCAGCCCTGCATACAGCAAAGCTGAGTTTTGGAATTATAATTTTCAACCTAAATGATACTTTACGCGCACAGGGACTCTTTAAAGACACCTAGGATCCATGTAGAGATATCCCTAATTTTGACCAAAGAGACTGTAACCAGCCAACAGCACCTGCCACCACGGGAACTTTACCTGGCATTTAGAAACGAATAATGAAATTGGCCGTTATTTTTATAGCGCGCCAACAGCTGAAAGTGTGGAGTTTGTTCAGCAATATCATGCACCAAACCCCGGATCCTTTGACAAACAGCCCGGCTTGCTATCCACTAGGCCACACCAGAACCCTGAGTTTGGTAAATATAAAATTATATATAAATATCTCACGGCCAATAACTATAATTAATAGGAATGTTTTGTTTTGTTAGCACAAAGCTACCTGATGGGCTATTTGTGGAGAATCGAACCCTGGATTTTAGTGTTGTAACTCTATTAACTTATTGTTGACACAATGACGGGACAAAACTAAGTTTTCTGTAATCAATCGTCATTTAAACCTTAACTTATCTGTTTAACACAACTACCTTTCCTTTTGAGCCTAGTGTGGAAAATTGAAACTAACATATTATAAATATAAACCGGACAACTATTCTACAGTTTTCACACATCTTGTGTATTAGCGCTATGCACGTATATTACGTGTTAAAGTATTTAAACTGCAACTTACATGTGAGAAAAGTTTTAAATATGCGTGTGTATGTATCACACAAGCTCTTATGAGCTGTAACAATCATTGGGGTGCATACCTACATCAAACCTCCTTTCAGCATTATACAGCATATAACAAGGTTAAGTTACAGTTGTCAAAGTTGGTAGGTATTTCAATTGTCAGAATCGCTATTGCACACACATACAGGAGTCAAAAACAACAAATAATGGCATCTAGACGGTGAATTCATTAATGGGACAATACAATATCACTAAAAATACATATAAGTTGTACAATACATCAGTAGTTTGTATACCAGTCCTTTGCCTTACACAGAGCTCCATAACTTTTTTTTCGCGCTAATTTAACCTATGCAATTGTGTATTATTGTTCTTCTCACAATTCAGCCAAGATTTTTGCCGCCTTCTGACCTTCCCAGTTTTCACGTATTCTTCAAGAATGTTCCTATCGAAACTTTACGTTGGCCAAGCCATGGTTGTTAGAGTTCCATCGGACTCTTTCCCTTCAAGATATCATTACATTACATATGCCGTATGCTTGGAATGATTGTCTTGCTGAAATATGAATCCCAACTCGGTAAGTCACGTTTCTGAGGGAATGAATGGCAAGATGGATAGAACCCTGCTGTACTAGTCAGGTTCAGATGCAGTTCCAAACTTGTACTGATCCTCTAACCTTCATTTACTGAAGCTGTACTTTTACTATGTTATTGTTCTTCTTTAGTCCGTCGAATAAAATATTGATTGTCTCCGAATATTACGAACTTGATTTACCTGTAAAGAGCACACATCTCCAGCTTTACTCATTCCATTGTTTGTGGTTCGAACCTTTCAGATTGGCTTCCTCCTCGGTTTTTGAGCAGCTACACGTCCATGGAAACAACTTCGAGCTAATGTGTATGTTACTGTTCTCGAAGTAACTTTTACACCTGTATTTACAGCCAGTTTTTTGCCAAGATCTGCGCTCGACATTTGTCTATCTCATGAAGTACGTACCTTTAGACACTTAAAATCCCTTTTGGAGAGTTTCGGTTTTCTACCTCGACCACTTTTATTATTAACACTGTCAGTTTCACACACCCTCTTCAGAACTTTCAGAAAGCTCTTAAGAAATGTTATAATTTTTTCACACGGAGTATCATTGACTAGTCGAAACTTTGATTTTTACAAGCCTGTCGTACGATATTTCAGTCTTGGGAGCCATATTAGATTCTAACTACTACTACTACTGGGCATAGTATGACTGCTTCTACTTTTTAAGCTTTATACTGATGTGGCACTTTTGTATTAGTTGGATAACAACCAATCACAGTGTAAGCTATCACCACCTGTGGTACACTTCACTTTCACACGATAAACGGTTGGCATGCCTGTAGTATTTGTCTTCTGTATCCTTTTCTCCCATTGTTTCCACAATTATTAT